GAACCAGATGTGAGCTGCTTCTCCTCCCTGAGACCCTCCCAGTGTTGCTCACCGACTCTGTGCAGCTTTATTTCGGGCTGCCAGGTGACATCCAGCAGTCTGCGCTGACGGTCCACCTCCTCCTCCTCCTCCTGCCGGACCGCCGCGTCTTCAAACGCCGTGAAAACGTCCTCAAACGCCGCAGCGAGCCGCCCGCTGGTCCCCCGATGGACCGAAGACATGGTTCCTCCTCCGACTAGCGCAGCATTTACCTGCGACACGACAACACAGCCGCCCGCTGCGCCGAGCTAACGCTGCTAACGCTGCTAGCACTTCCTGTTTACTCCCGCCGAGTGTTACAGTTAGAAGGTCCGGCGGCCGCAGCGGCTCAACTTTCATTCCGCCTTCAAATGAATTATTTTTTTAATGTTTGTTTTGTTTTTCAAATTTTGAAGCAGCTGGTTGAAGTGGAAGTATTTTATGTTTTACAGAGCACATATAGATAATTTAACTCGATGTCATATTGTGGAAAAAAATAGGTTGTGTGTCGATATAAAAAATAGGAAAGAAATCTAAAAGATAAGAAATATTATAATGTAATGTCAAAACACACACACACACACACATATATATATATATAATATTCTCTATTACAATTACAAGAAAAAAAACATTTTACTTGTTTTCTCACCTCATTTTTTTGCTTTTGTTTTTGAGTCGCACCATCACTGATGCCTTGGTGATATTGTTCACCTGATATTCATGCAAAAAAGCACATTTGAATCACATTTGAAGTGACTTCACTTTGTGTTTAAACATACTTCTACTTTGTTGTACTACACAGAGAAATAATCCACTTTGTAGAACAACGACATGCGTGTATGAACATTTATGATGCGCCCACAAAATGTGACCTCGACAGTTGAGAACAAAAGTTTACATCCACCGATGAAGTACACGTATATCAGGGCAGTCTTGAGTTTCCAGTGACTCCTAGAACTCAGAACTTTCTACGATGCAATGATTAAAATATGTGCATCTTTGCCACAAAAATAAC